AGAGAGAGAGAGAGAGAGAATACGGCCACTGTGGGAGTTTCAGACATTGTTTATTTTATTATCATTATTTATTTATTGCCTAGTACGTTTTAGCATGAATACGTCGAACAAGCTCCATGTCTTTTCTTAAAAGGTTTCAAGTTAGTGAAAGCATGTGTTTGATTTCTGGTCACAGTTGTTACTGATGGGAAGCTATCTGTAGTTCAATTTTGCTATCAGGCAATTTTGTGGGGGAAATAAATAAACTTTTTTTTTTTTTTATTGTGTTTCATTTAGTTTAAGAGTTATTTATTCAGTTACTTATTGAATTGATACTTAATAGTTGTAATAAGGGTCTGTGTTTCCCCAGTGATCACAAATATGCTCAAATACATCTTTGTTTATTTTGATCGCAATATATACGAGAAAGTGTGGTCTTAATAGCCTTAAAATATTTAATGTTTAAAAAGTATGAGTTGTACTTTACGCATGCTTTCTTTTATGGAGCTTAGAGACATAATCTTTTCGTGAAATTAAATGTTTTTAAACACTATATTGAAAATGTTTAATTTACTAATTCAAAAACATAACACATACACAATTAAATATTGGGTGGATACAGGGTGGAACACTGGCTAATGTGGGACACCTAAGCTTCAGTGCATTTATCTCTTCTGTTACCACATTAAATTGGTGTTGAATTCAAGCAGGGTGTCAAGTTATTGAAATCACTTGACTTTCTGGAAGGTATGTCATAAATGCGGCCATGAAAATCATCAAAGAGGAAGCACCTCTTGTGAAGTTCGCACAAAGTTCAGTGACATGTGACTTAGACGAAATTAATGTTACATTACAATTTGCTTAACACATGCTTTTGAAAATACATGTTCCATATTCTTACCATGTGCAGAGTATAGAAGTTTAATATCATTTTTAAGACATCCCATGTTCCAAAGTTTTAAAATAGCTTATGAAATTATTTTGCTATCTTTATTAAGTTAAATTTTTCACTGCATTACATGGTTATTATCAGTGTTGGGGGTAACTCATTACAAGTAATGCGAGTTACGTAATCAGATTACTTTTTTCAAGTAACTAGTAAAGTAACGCATTACTTTTTTAATTTACAAGAAAATTTCTGAGTTACTTTTTCAAAAAAGTAATGCCAGTTACGTTTTCCCATTTATTGACTGACAGCTCTCCTGTCCCCATATTGGGAGAAATCGGGAGTACAGAGGCGTTGTGTGCACTGTGTGAACATGATGTTACTGTAGTTCTAGACTCAATGTGAATGTGCGTCAATTCATCCCACTCACAAAAAACAGATTTAGTATTCATCAAAATGAATTAAAACAGTGAAATGCAAACTCAGAATATGATGCAAACCTGCAATAATTAAATATGTTAAATAACACAAATGTATCTAATCCCATTTTATTAACTGATGTCTTTGCAGCTGACCTTTGATGATCCAGTTCAACCATACTAATAAGCAAAAATGACTTTAGATAAACTAACAATTGTGCTTTGTTTTTTTTATTGCTGAAGAGTGTTTCTTCTCCTGCGTTCTACAGTACAGACGTGGATTTACTTTTCCTTCAGCCTGAGGTTTATTCAGTACACTTTTTGGTGTGAAAGGGCTTTTATATTTGCTATAAATAGAACTTCTTATATTAAAAACAATCAAGCCCTGCTTATATTTAAAAAGTAACACAAAAGTAACATAACGCATTACTTTCCATAAAAAGTAACTAAGTAACATAATTAGTAACTTTTTTTTAGGGAGTAACGCAATATTGTAATGCATTACTTTTAAACGTAACTTTCCCCAACACTGGTTATTATTATTGTCGCTATGTTTTTACAATAAATTATTTAAAATAGTATTTGTGAATAGTATATATCCATTCCATATGTACAGTCCATATAGGCACATTTTTAGACGAACTGATGAAGACAGCAAACACACTGTAGGCCTACTAAATTAATGAACCAAATTAATGAATTAATTTGCTTTGTATAGTGTCCCTGATTTGTGCTCAAGCTGTCCCATATTAGAACATCCACAAATTCTTAAACAATAGACATCCATCTGAACACTGATTGTCATTGGATACATTTATACTGGTTATGATCATTTTTATTCATCGAAAATAAAAGGCTGTGTACATTACACCAGCCATGTAAAAAATATTCACATTAGTCTACACTTTCATCAAACTTGACAACTACGTGTTAAATACATAATAAACTCGTTTTAGACAATATCAAATCAAATGTCGATGGGATTAAATGGGTTAATAAAAAGTAAGTTTTCAAGGTTGTTGACTGATATTTTGTGTGTGTGCTGAGGTCCCGCCCTCATTCTTAAAGCCTTGAGTCATCGTGTGTGTGTTTTATGAATGAAAGGATCCGCTGATGGTGGACTGATTCCGGGGAAAAAAGGCGTTTAGCTCTCTAGTCCGTCTAAACACGGGCCGTGCTGCGATAGCGTATGTCAGTCGAAATACCGAACCAGCGGTGAAAATCGTGGACTGATCCGTATTCAGCTTCGTGTGAAACCACCAAAGAGGAGAAATCAACACCAGGCAAGATTTTCTATTTTTTCTCCTTTCGACATTTGTTTACACTAAGGAAACGGAGTGGTGTTAGCAAACCCGCTGTAACGTTACATGCTCCCAATGTTTGTGTTTTAACGTAATACCCACTTACTGATACTGTTATGGTTTAGATTTTTATATTAACCTATCATTTAGAGTCGCCTTTTATACATTTTTAATAGTATTAGTCTTCATGAGCGCGAATAGCATGTTTTTATCACGATGTCAGGTGTAGCAACAAGCTAACGCGTAATAAGGAAATAGCTGCTTAGATGTTGCCGGTTCAGACCATGGTTCAGACAGATAAAATATATATTTGTATTCAGCGTAATTGTATGTATTATATTCAGAACTACTCTAAAGGTGTAAACATGTATGTTGTTTTCGATGAGAAACGACTAGTCAGCAAAATCTCGGTTTGATTTGAACTAGTAGTATCTTACGTAATAAACGGGTTCTTAATCCTTTATTATGTTTTATTCATAATTATAAGTTGTATTTGATTTTTTTATAATTAAATTGTCGCTTTGTAAGTAACGCAGTACTTAAGGAGCATGTTAACCTCAAGACGTTTCGGGAAAAATGACAGCCCAAGACCTGTGTTGTTGTTGTTGTTGTTGTTTACTAAATAGGAGTTTTATAAACTGTTTATAAGTGAGTGGTAATATTTGTTGTGACTAAGTGACTGGGAATTTTATAAATGATGTAAAACGCGAAATGTGAAAGGAAAGTAAGGAGCTGCTGTGAAGTCAGGAATGGAGAACTTGTGCTGAATCACTGTGACTCCGTGGAAAAGCGCAGTCGGTTATTTGCGGCAGCAGCTCGCGGATGATAGGCGCACTTCCCACGCATGACGGGAAACTCATGGTCAGCAGCGTTCACTTCTTCATCTGGACTTTGACCAGTCATGATTCACTGTCAAGAAAAAAAGTGCTACTCTTTGGATACGGGAAGCCTAGATTTAGAAAAATGAAAATAAGATCGGGAGGTTTGTCTTTAAATGGTCTTACAGATTGAGTCTTCACGAGCTGACCACACAAACCACATTATATATTTATATAAGGAGAGTTCCTGTCTTCTGTCTTCCTTATTATGTGCTAAAATCCACCACCCAGCTATGACGCCATACACCTGTTCATAGTAGTCAACCGATGTCTTTTAATGCTTGATCCCCTGGTGGCCGATATTAAATTTATATTTTTGAATCTGTAAAATAAACATATACAGGCGCATCTCAATAAATTAGAATGTTGTGGAAAAGTTCATTTATTTCAGTAATTCAACTCAAATTGGGAAACTCATGTATTAAATAAATTAAATGCACACAGACTGAAGTAGTTTAAGTCTTTGGTTCTTTTAATTGTGATGATTTTGGCTCACATTTCACAAAAACCCACCAATTCATCTCAACAAATTAGAATATGGTGACATGCCAATCAGCTAATCAACTCAAAACACCTGCAAAGGTTTCCTGAGCCTTCAAAATGGTCTCTCAGTTTGGTTCACTAGGCTACACAATCATGGGGAAGACTGCTGATCTGACAGTTGTCCAGAAGACAATCACTGAAACCCTTCACAAGGAGGGTAAGCCACAAACATTCATTGACAAAGAAGCTGGCTTGAGATGCACCTGTATACTTCAGATGGCAATCGATTCTGTAATACTATAGAATTTTTCAGAAATAAAGAAATAAAAAAAAAATCTATGCTGATGATTAAAAATGGCAACTATATGCAGATATATGAGCCGATATCATCAACACAGCACATCTCGCATAGCATATATCGTTATTTCTGTTGTATAACATCATGCTGTTATTATGTCAGGGTTCTATGCCTTCTAGTGCAAGGTGTCACTTGGCAAAACATTTTTATTAAAATGTTGAGTCCATAATATTTTTATTATGCTTTGACTATTTAATAAAAGCAAGGCACTCAAAATTTTGCAGTATTGTGAATATAGTTATTTCGCTGAGTCAAGCAGCATAACAACGGCCTTTAGCTTTGACCATATTCACAATATAGTGTGACTTTATTCCATTTTCACTTAATCGGTTTATTTGACATTTACAGGTTTCAGGGATACATAAATACAGACAATGACTTCAGACGGCAGAGCCAGTAAAGCCCTGAAGGTAAAGACCATTTTACAGAAAACACTTGAGAATTTTTTTCACATTCTGTAAATTGCAATTTTTACAAAAATATACTGTAAAAAATGCTGGAGTTAAACCTGTTAATTGGCTAACTGTAGCCTAAGTTACCTTACCGTATACAATAAATGAGAAACAGTGAATGGGGTATAACATCACTCTATGTAATTTTACTGTAAAATACTGTCAAAATTATGGTACAGCTATTCACTTGTCAAAACTATGAATTGCCACAATTTATAGAAAAAAAGGACATTCCCAGACGGCACATTGTGACATCAACATCACAGTTGTATTTAATTATTATTTATTTTTTCTCATTTGTGTTATCAGTTATGCATTAGGGTACTTTTCTGTTATTTAGTTAGTGTTTATTGTATTATTTTAGTCTTGTGTGTTACTCTGATGGCATTTTGTCTTTGTGTATGGCCCTGTGAACTGTTTATATAAGGAGTATTGGTCAGGTTTTATGGACAGGCCACTTATGATGAACTCTGATTCATCATGTGGCTTTCTATTTTACCATCTCTGTTATTATGTTGGCTGTGTCAGCATATTTTTGTATAATAACATTATAGCATTTAAATAAGCTGAAAACTACACAGGCACCAATATTCCACCTGGTAATTCCTAAAACATTTTTACAGTAATGCAAATAATGTCCTATTATTTCAGGTGAAGAGGGAATGCGGGGAGAACGTCCCAGTGCTGAGCGACAGTGAGCTCATGTCGCTGTCGGTGCGCGAGCTCAACACGCACTTGCGCGGTTTGTCACGCGAGGAAGTGCAGAAGCTGAAGCAGAGGCGACGCACGTTGAAAAACCGCGGCTACGCGGCGAGCTGCCGGGTGAAGCGCGTGTCCCAGCGCGAGGCCCTGGAGCAGCAGAAGAAGGAGCTGCAGCGGGAGGTGGAGCGGCTGGGGTCTGAGAACGCAGGCATGCGGCGGGAGCTGGAAGGGCTGGGTGCCCGTCTCGCTGCCCTGCAGCGCTTTGCCAGAGGTCTGGAATCCGGAGGAGGCAGTCTGCTGGCCACCACACCCCGTCTGAACACAGCCTCCGTCATTACCATAGTGAAGACACCGCAGCAGGTGCACACCCCTAGAGAGCAAGGAGCATCCTAGGGCTCCACATGGATACGCAGACACACATAGGTACACAGTATGATCGCACAGACAGACAGACCGACCACGTATACTCACATATACAGGAAGAAAAACAAGTTCCAGTTGGGAATTACAGTTTCACTTACATATATAAACACACACAGACTGTATATACAGTCTTATAAATGTCCAAGAATAATCTCAGTACTGTTGTTGTGGCCTCGAATATCATGACAAGTGTATAAGTCTGCACTTATAAAGCTGTTGCTAATGATAGCGTTATTGCTATTTATGCCCATTACTGTGCTTTCTGGATGGTGATATATGTTTAAAAAAAACTTGTCTTCATGCGGGACCAGCGACATTTCAGAAGCTGGTTAGTTTTGCTGGATTATCTCCATGGTATTACCGAGTCATGGGACAAGAGAACGTGCTGATCTATGGATACATACCATTTATATATTTTAATGTTTGTATAAAAGACAAATGTTCAACAACAGACATGAAAGCTATTTTATTTGTGTTCGAAACAAGATGTTTGAAGGTAATTTGTGCTGTGATTGGTCTAAATACTACTTCTGATCGACTAGTTTGGGGTCATTGTTTGAATTATTGTGTGTTTTTTGTAATGTTTACTTGTTGTAATGAGTTAGTCGTTTAGTAATTGTAAAGTATACAGCCTTATTACTTGTAATATGATTCAGTATGTGTGAGGGTCATATTTGTACTAATATTAGAGCGACTTGTTTGTAGTGGTATTTTTGTATTTAAAACCAAGACCATATATATTATTTGCTATTTATGATTAAAAAAACGTATCTGAATATTTTGGACAGCTGGAATATTAAAAAAAAAATACAATTCGAGGGGGAAAAAAAAGTGAGGAAGGGGAATCTGAGGAAGATGTGAAAATAGAGGACGAAGGGGAAGAGTGCAGCCAGAAGAAGTGAGCACTTGCGGCTCACACAGGAGGGAAAACAGGAGGATAAGAAAGTGACAGAAGAAAAGCGAAAGACAAAAATGATATCACATGTACGTCACATCAACCCGTGGTCGTCAGGATGACTTCCGACTACAAGCCGGGTTTACTCCAGTAAACGGAGTGATACTGTATGATCAGGTAACGATCGGCCATGTTAAACGTGGATATCTCTGGTGATTTTTTTTATTGTGTAGTTAGCAATGTCGTCATCAGTACTGAGAATCTAACCTGGTAATATCATGCCCATGATATCTGTGCTTCAGTACAATGTGACGAATGTTTTGTAAGAGGAGAGAGCTCAAAAAAACAACAACCGATGTTTGTATTTATTATCTGTATTTTTCTATGGTAAATTCATTGTCTATTTTATATCATTTAATTGAAATAAATGTTGTATATATTGTATACAGAAATATGTGTATTCACTGAGTAAAAAAACACTATTGCACAAACATATACAGACACAATTATTTATTGTTTTCTAGGCCAGAGCATCAAGGGAAAAAATAGAAGCTAAATCTTTGACATAGTAATACATAATGCTCGGTTCAAAATAACATGACAGTACAAAGAACGTCTTAGTGTAACTTCAAAATGTTTCCACAAAATATATATATATATATATATTTTAAACGTAACAGCACTTCCTATGTTACTTTAAACCACTCTCTGAATAACAACGGACAGAAATAGCTTGCCAAAATGTTCTAGAATATTCGGAGTTATCCTATATATACAAAACTGCTTAGTGCAAGTTACAACAACGTCTATATTATTAAAAGAAATCCTCCCCTTATAAAGAATACACTGCAAAAACACTAACATAACAACTATAAGCAGGTACCATATATACTCGTACTTGGTTCCAGCTGCTTTGTGTTTATACTGGCCTCTATTGTACCAATAAAAGCATAGGACAGTTAATAAGTAACTCCAAAGATGCTATCTAACCAACCGCAAGCTTCAAGCTTGGTCATCAAGGGCCTAGTGCTATCTAAAGAGGTAAAGCGCAAATGGCAGATGCTTCTGAAGAATGGGAGAGACTTTGGTGTGGCTCTCAAGGGATCGGTGATAACAGGCGTGTCCCATAAAGATAAAGGGTGCGAACTGAGATATGCCTCCCTCTAGTGGGATATCTAGAACCAATACAGTACCCAGTAAAAGGATAGCTCACCAAAACTGAAAATTGTGTCATTTACTCACCCTCATGTTTGTTCAAACCTGTATGATTTACTTTCAGTAGAAAACTAAAGAAGGTATTCTGAAGTATGCCTTTGTGTTTCTTTTTGTCCATAATATGAAAAGTTCAATGTTGATGTTAATTTCATTTGAGTGTCTGTGTTTAGCAGAAGAAACAAAAGTTTTAGAATGACGTGAAGGTGAATAAATGATGACAGAATTGTCATTTTTGGGTGAACTGTCCCTTTTCAAATGATATAAATTTCGCATTTCCTTCAGACAACAGAATACGGATAAACTGATGGTACTTGACCGTTCTTTCTCAGTGAAAGTATAGCATACACTAAGAAGCGTAACCTATATAATCCAGACCACCTTAATCTGTAATCTAATCGTGGACCATCAACCTCTCCCCGTCCCTTGATTCATCCGTCAAAACAATAACAGCTGGTACTCTCTCTACCGTCATTGCGCTCTCTCGTTCACAGCCGTACCCGCCCTTTAAATCACTGGGGAAACTATAAACACTGTTGAAACAGAAGCAAAGGTGCACTTGAACTTGTAAATCAAAAATAGAACATTCCCACCGAACGGGGGCCTTCCAATACACTGCTCTTTAGAAATATGCTGGGATGTCCAAACACCCCCTATGTGAAACTACAAGCATAAAAAAATACATCAATCCAAACGCTGAAGTGTCAGACCATGTGGGTTTTCAAAATTTGGCTAAAAGTATAAATGAATGTATTATTTAGTTCTCTGTATAAACATCAACATCAGACAAAAGCGCATCAAGATTTCTTTTAAAGACAACTAAGCAAGTATAAGCAGCTTAAGTTTAGATTCTACTGCACTAGAACGTAACTACTTGCTTAAGATGGTCCTTTAATAACCTGTTCCTATGTTAACCTCATCATTACACTACCGCAGCAGTAAACGGTCCCTTACGGAGTACCTTTGCTCAGGACTACAGGTGAGCGAGTTAAAACTCATCATCGGAGCTAAGCAGCAGGGTTTTCTCATTGTCCCGGGCGCTCACGCAGCTGTGATTGCGGGATATGGGCGGTGCGGTGACCCCCTGCTCCAGGGTGGACTGCTGGGTGTACTGTTGGTAGGCTGGGGAGAAATTGTGGATGGCATCCTGAACCATGTCTCCAGGGTTCATGGTCTCCTTTAAGCTGCTAGAGATGCTCTTCATGGGGGCACAGTGACCTTGAGAAGAACGGAGAACTTAATTAGAGATGGATGATGGCATGAGAGAAGAGACGTTTTAGAAGATTGACTTGTCAGTTTTGGGTGAACTATCCCTTTAAGAGTCCACTGTCCCTACAGTTTCAATTAGAGAGGAGATGTGGTTTAAGATCAGGAACTGTAGCCTACCGTACTGTCCATATGTAGGAACGGGGCCTTTAGAGTGCAGCATGAAAAGGAGAAACAAAGAAAAGATGGAAAGGGGCAGAAGGGTGGATGTGGTGCATGGGATGACCAAATAAAATGAGAAATTGAAAGCAAGATGTGGAAAGATAAACAATAAAAAGCATTGAAAGAATAGATAAGAATGAATGGATTGAGGAATGAATGATTTACAGAAGAAAAGCGAAAGTCAGCCATGACTTCTGAGCCATTATTATTGTGACAAAATGTTGAGAGAATGACTGTTCTTGAAATCTCAATAAAACATGCCTCAATTAGGGAAAAATAAGTACAGCAGCAGTTTTAACAAAGTGACATCTGACGCACGTGCTCAGAGACACTTCCGGTTTTTAGTCAATGGACATTGTTGTGGACCTCCGTGAAGTTGGCACCCCTTAAAAAGAAATAATCACCAAAACTATGCCATTCGTTTCTGCTGCAAAAACCGGTCTCACCGTTTCAAATTAATGCTGCCTTGAAATTTAAGCTTAGTCAACTTGAAATATGAAGTTAGTGAAAATTTGGACCTGACTAAACTTACAATTTTAAGGCAGCACGAACACTAATTTTTATTTATTTATAAACTCTGCGCCCGCGCTAAACGGGGTGGAGAGTAAAGTTCCCGTTTTATTTAAGAAGAGGTTATGGTTACATTGTTTCTTTTAACGGCACAAACCAGCACAAACCGAGCACAAACGAACGGCACCGGTTTGGAGAGATTTGGACGGCATGGGGTGGAGAGCGACGTCACTGGCCAGAATCGTTTTTGTTATTGCTATGATGAAGGGAAAATATATTTGATGTTCATTTCAACAGCACAAACCGGCACAAATCGAGCACAAACGAATGACACCAGTTTTGTGCGATTTAGACGAACTGGGGTGGAGAGTGACGTCACAGCTCCTGAAAATATTTTGGTTATATCCAAGGAAGGAAAATAGATACAGTGTTTGTTTTAACGGCACAAATCAAACACCAACGACCTGCGCTGGTTTGGAGCGATTTGGGCAACATGGGGTGGAGAGTGACGTCACACGGTCAAAAAAATTATGTTTATTAATATCTCAAACACCAAACCAGCACAAACGTAGCACAAACGAATGGCATAGTTTTGGTGATTATTTCTTTTTATGGGGTGCCAACTTCACGGCGGTGTGTTGTGGTTGCAACAAAGTGGTTGCCAAGCAACAGACAAACGTAAACAAAGGTGTATGTTTGTAGAGTAATTTACAACAGCTTTGAACGTGGCTCAGCCAATCAGAATCAAGGACCGGAACTATCCGTTTTATCCACCTTTTTCTTGTCGTAAAAATGGGCGCGGCCATTTGTAAATTATATGGGTCTGGCTTCCGGTCTCATCTGCGTCCATTCCGTCCAGCTATTTTTAGCTGAGCAAAACAGTTCGTTTTGCTGCTTGATATTGAAAGTTGGTGTGTCTTATCATATTATTTCAATGAATTATCTGAAATTATGAACACACTGGTTTGTAGTGCAAACAGTTTTACCGTTTACTGCACGTTGTTATTCTCCTCGTTATTTACCTATAGCGGCTAATGAACCGGAAGTCTCACCCATAGGCTTACTTCCGCGTTGAAGAAAAAGGTGGATAATGCATGTTTGACAGCAACAAACTGTTAATTAATTAAATATCATTCTGCCGTTAAGTGTGTGTATTACACAATCTACATTATGCAGCGGCACCCAGCGGCAGGTGTCAGTCACTACCAAAGGTGCCACACAGCGACACACACCGCGGCAATGTCAGTGACACAGGACGCAGTCCATTGACGTGTCACAGGCCACTGAAAACTGGAAGTGTCACTGAGCATAGCGGCATGTGCCAATGGCATCTGTGCATCAGATGTCATGTCACTTTATGTTAAAACGGCCTCTCAAGAAGTAAGGGGTCAGTAAGTTTTTTTTTAACTTTTGAAATAAATACTTTTATTCAGCAAGGACGGATTAAATTAATCAAAAGATATTAAAGTATTTATAATGTTAGTTAAAATACATACATTTAAGAAAAAATTAAAATTCTACTCATCAAAAGATCCTAAGAAAAAAAAAAATCCACAAAATATTAAGCAGCAAAACACATTTTTAATTAACAAATGATCATGTGACACTGAAGACTGGAGTAATGGCGGCTGAAAATTCAGTTTTGCCATCACAGGAATAAATTACATTTTAAAATATATTAAAACAGAAAAGGGTTATTTTTAATTGTAAAAATATTTCATAATATTACTGTGTTTAACTGTAATTTTTTGATCAAATAAATGCAACCTTCTTTCCAAAACATTTTTAAAAAATCTTACCAACCCCAAACATTTAACTGTAGTGTAAACTACTCTTTTACACTGTTTTACACATATTACAGGAAAAAAAGCATGCCATTTGTTCTCGAACAAAGGAACAAAGGAGTAGAGCTCACCAAGGGAATCCAGTCTTTTGTCCATGTAGACCTTGTAGGTAAACGCATGTCGCAGGGCCAAGGCGGCAAAGAACATCTCGATGCAAATGATGAAGTTCTGGTATCCAGCTGCAACGGTTCCCTCGCCAACAGAAACCTCAGGAGAGCTGATCTGAGGAATCGCACCACATTTCTCCAAGATGGCCAGCAGCATGCCTGTAAGACCAGCGAGATCACAGGTTACTGTGTCAATATGAATGTGCATTCACAATTCCAATCCATTTCACAGAATACTCAAGAAGAAAATTAGGACTTGGTTTTATCCATAAAGAACTGCCATCACATACAGAAGCAAAAACAATAATTGGGCAACATAAAGGCCTACTGACATCAACCGAGTTATTTGAGGGCTGGAGCAGGTTTTGATAAAAATAATATGAAGACATTTTTTTGTTTTTAGAATAATGTAGACTGATAAAATGTCCACTATAAGATTCATATGACCATTTATTGTAAATGGGGTCAATTTTGATTTCATGTTGATTTTAGTATTTCTATAGCAGTAGATCTGACCTTGCCAGAAGGAGAGGAAGATGACTGATTTGACCATGAAGAACTTGAGCATGGGCCTGTAGGGGCTGAGGAGGTCTCGGGTGGCGAAGTAGAACAAGAAAAGGGCATAGAGAGACAGGCTGACGGAGATATTGTAGATGATGGTCACATACAGGTAACCACTAGCGACACTGTGGGATCAGAAACAAAATTCTGTTTTGAAATTTGAAATCTTGAGTATTAGGGAAAATAGTCACAGATCAGACATCACACGAGAAGCACATACTTGAAGTCCCCATCACGGTATTTCCCAAAGGCCTGCAGGATGACTGTAATCATGGCCATCAGGGGTTTTACCACACAGAACTGTAAAGTGGCCTGTAAAATGAATTAATAAACAAATTACTCAAAAAAAGATCTGAAGACAAAAAGATAAATAGGAACAAGGATTTCGGAAAGTGTTTAATATGCAAACCTGTTTGCAAAATCGAAGGAAGCCAATGGAGTAGGTCTTGCCCCAAAGACAACATGTTCCATATATACAGCTGGACCTGCAGCAAAACAAAAACAAGATTGCTTTCACATAAATATTTTAAGCTATTACTTAACCTAGGGTACGTTTACACCTGTAGTTCAGTTATCTTGGTTCTTTTGGCCCGAACCATAAAAGAAAATGATATATTTAATCCCGATTTACTTAGCGTTCACACTGTCATTTTTAACACCGAACCTAAAGATGCAAGACAACAGGCATAAGGATACGGTTGCAACCTGATTGGTCAATTTCATGACTTTTATTAACAAACATCCAAAACTGCTGTGTTCTGGGCTAAGTGCGCTCGTTTTATGTGTGTACATGCAAAACTTTTTTTATTTAGTTGATAACTCACAAAGAGTTTCTAAAATATGTAAAAGAGTCAAAACAGCAGCAGGAGTTTGAATGGCAGTGTTCGCACTTATTGAAATGAGCCGCACTAACAGAGCAATCGCACTAGATTTCATTTGAATCAAACCAAACCTGCCAAACACACCTGGAGTCTCATCAAACATCAATAAGAGCACTGATTTGAGGCATGCTTTAAAAAGTTCTCACACAACAGTATAAGTGGAAATGGAATATGACACTCACTCAATGGGTTTTCCTCGGATCTCAGCCATGATAGCGCTCTCACCTCCAAGATATTCATAGCACAAGCTCAAGAAGTTATAAATCACAAATGCTGCAAAAAAGATGGATTGAATTAGCACTGAAAATACATCTTTATTTTACATGAGAGATTCAAGTCTGGTGATTACTTTCGAGTTTTCTCAGAAAATAGTTTAATAGTTCAATAGTTTAATCTCATACTGTGGCACTGGCAGTCAAACACAGCAGACCTTTCGGACTAAATCCCATCATCAGTGTTTCACCAAACACCAACAAAAGACTTTTGCTAAACAATGCAGTGGTGCACGGCAAAACATCCCTTGTGATGGTCTGGCCATGCCACGAATAAAAGAATTAAAGTACCAGAATCTTTCATCCTTTGAGCACACCATGTGATTTTCTACACCAAAGCTTATAGGACGCTCACAAAAATGACATCGATTTTTAACAGTCTTGTTATTTTTACCATTCATTTTCTCCATTAGGATTTCAGAGACTTCTTCAATTAAGAGTTCTAAAGCATGAACCAAACCGACCAGATCGAAGATTAATCACAAAATAACTAACTTTAATTTGAAGTGATAAAGTACACTACCATTCAAAAGTTTGGGATCTGCAAGGTTTTTGAAATAATTCTCTTATGGTCACCAAGGTTGAATTTATTTATTTATAATTATCATTATTTTTAAAGATTTTTTATGGGCTTTTTATGCCTTTATTTGAACAAGACGGTATAGAGTAGACCGGAAAGCATTGTGTAGAGAGAGAGGGGATACGCGGTTTATGCTTTGATCTGAACGTAAACAACATATCCGCGTGATGCGGCTGACACTGAACAGCATACGTTGTTTACGTTCAGATCAAAGCACGCGCATTCGTCGTGATACTCTCCAAAATGGCGCCAGGGTGATGCGGAGGAGACGAATTGTTAAATAAAGTCCTTATTTTTGTTTTCTTTGTGCACAAAAAGTATTCTCATATTTTCGTAAAATTACGGTTGAACCACTGATGTCCTTGCTACGTTTCTGGACCTTGATCGTGGTAATTACATTGCTGTCTATGCAGGGTCAGAGAGCTCTCATAATTCATCAAAAATATCTTAAAGGGGTCATATGATGTAGCTAAAAAGAACATTATTTGGTGTAATGAAATGTGTTTATGCGGTTTAAGGTTCAAAACACATTATTTTCCACATACTGTACATTATTGTTTTTCCTCTATGCTCCGCCTTTCTGAAACGCGTTGATTTTTACAAAGCTCATCGGTCTGAAAAGCGAGGTGTGCTCTGATTGGCCAGCTATCCAATGAATACCTCAAGCGTGTGACGGAAATGTTACTCCCCTTACATATTGTGATGCCTAGTCCCAGCCGGAGCGACGAGACAAAAACATTAAAACCCATTATAAACTAGGCATTTGTTGCATCCAGTGGGGACATAATTACGGATTATAATGACTTATACTGTCTTTTTACAAGTTGCATTGCATCACGCCGCGAAAACATAAAACCATGTCTGCATTTGTGATCGGAGAAATGACAAACAACAAGCGCTACTCTACACTGCTCAAAACTCGTGTTTTAATCATCAGTGGCAAATTCTTTAAATATGAAAAACGTACTTACAGTCTGTGAGTCAGAACAGCCGGCATTGTAGTCTACTCTACCAGGATCAGGAAACAGTCCTCCATAAAATGCGCTGCACACATCTGAATATTTGGGTTGAACTGTTCTGGAACAGTGTTGTAAATACAACTTAACCACTGATTTCTAGTCGTGTCCTCTTTTGGAAGGCCAAACAAAGTAGTTTCGTTTTCACAACGAAACACAGCGTCACACGTGTTCCGAAGATGAACGAAGGTCTTACAGGTTTGGAACGACATGAGGGTGAGTAATTAATGACAGATTTTTCATTTTTGGGTGAACTATCCCTTTAAAGAAACTGTTTTCTATTTGAATATAGTTTAAAATGTATTTTATTACTGTGTACATTTATTTTAAATATAATTATATTACAACATTAAAAATGGTCAAAAATTCTGTCAATTTTGATCGGTCTGAACAAAAGTATACATTTCCTTTAAAAAAGGTCACACTTTATATTAAGTGGCCTTAACTACTATGCACTTACATCAATATACTTGTGTTCATATTGTATTGCAAAACACTTTTGCTACTATTGAGGTAAGGTTAGAGACAGGTTTGGTGGTATGGGTAAGTTTTAGGGTGGTTTAAGGTGTAAGGGATGGCTCAACAGTGTAATTACATGCAGGTATTTTTTAAAATATAAGCACAATGTAAAAACACGTATGTACACAATAAGTGCATACAATCAAATTACTCATTTAAATGCAAGTACATAGTAGTTAAAGCCACTTAATATAAAGTGGGACCAAAAAGAATAACCTAACCAGCTACTATTAGCTATATTTTTAATGTATAATAATAATTTTTTGTGGTTTTCATAATCAAGTGTGGATCAAATTCACAAAAGTACTGTTATGAAACATTCCTATGTTATAATCTTAAATCTGTATCTTTATGTAGAAAATGAATGAGATTTTTACTTTCAGAACTGTTGCACTCTATTAAATCATGCAAAACAGTATGACACTTGGTTGTGAGACTCCAGTAGATAATTTCAAAGAACTGCGCTTATGAAGCAACTGAACTGTGCCAATATTCACAGCATCCCCAGCGGGTGTTAATTTGTCCTTTTCCCTTGCTCTGTGGAACAGTGTATGTGTGACAGTGGAGACTGGAGCTCAGCTCTATACATAGCATGTGCACCCTCCAGCCACAGCTGCTCTTCACTGTTTGAGTCGAGAGACAAGGTCTGGTGAGTGTGAAGAGCTTACCAAACCCTCCCACCCTCAAAACACATGGAAGCATTAATACACCCAATTAAAAGAAATCAAAATTATCCAAACATATATCTGTGAATGAAACATTGTACCACTTGCTCTTTACAACCAAGCAAGAACTAAAATGAATTAATCATTTAAAAACCTACCGATTTGAATATTGCTATGGCACAGTACCAGTGTTATTTTAAGCATCCCTGAAATACTATTATAGTGTTGTTAAGATTTTGAATTAGATTTAATTTTTTCTATATTTTTCTGTTCTTATTTTAATTGTAGATTTTTTAGTACAGGTTTAGTAATTGTGTTGCATGGTTGACATTTTTATTAGTTTTCTATATAGTTTAGGTTCATTTCGTTTTAGTTATTTTAGTAGTTACAAAAATGAGAAATTTTGCATTGGCAACTAGCTGGAATAATATTCAGTTTAAAATGTAGTTAAAATTTACATTTATGTTTTTTTATATATTTTATTTCAGCTAAATGTTTAAGTAATGAAAATGTTTTTAGTTTTAGTCAACAATAACAACCCTGCACTGTACTAGGCTGGTGCCAAACGAGCACCTGGTTTATTAGTTTATCCATGTGCATCTGCTCCACTGATGTGCGATAAACACAGTTACTACGCAACAATCGCTTCTGGAAATCCCAGCTGACTACAGATCCAGAGAGCCTCTCAGGCCGCATAGGTGTCGTGTTTAAAGCTCCATGCGCAAAAACAGCTTAAAAAAAAGGCCTACCCTCATAGCAATCCCTGACTGTGTCGAAGTACACATAGTACTGGTCGTTGGTAAAGAAGAGAAGGCTGAGCCAGGAGTCAAAGGCGTAGATGGGTACGATGAAAAGGATGCGCACTATGTGCCTCTGCTCCTTGGGAGAGCTGTAGTAACGCAAATGCATGTAGATCTGCAAAAAAATCAAATATAAACACATTGAAATACACTGACTGAGTTTCGAATCTCAGGTCCAGCTGATTAGAGTGTTTTTTTTTACCTGGTGGCAGGTGAGTAGAAGTGCTGTCCACACAAAGAAGCCTGACACTGCCTGGGCTGTGGTTGTCATGAGGAAAATGGGCTGCTCTGGAGTGAGCAGAGGAGCTTCTGGTAACCAGGAGATGTTGGATCCAGTAGGAGCCATTGTGGCTAGTGAACCAGGAGCCATCCCGACAACTTCCTCCCCAAAATGATCGGACAATGGCACGTCACGTCTCAAAAGCTGTGGCGATAGAGATTGGATGTTAAAATCAGTGGGAATCAAACATGCTAAAGAAGGGTGTAGAAAAGTAGAAAAGTGATGTACTGGAACAATATTGAGTTTAAAAATGCCATGAAAATGAATCAGACAGGAACGAGGAGTGTACAACAATATGACGTCACCATGAATCATTTCACAGTAATATTGTGCAAGATAATGTGGGCAAGCAAAGAAATGAAACAAAAAATCAGCCAGAGATTAAAGACGCAATATAACGGAAGTAGAAACAGATCTTTTCTCGATATGGTGATGTAGCCTACATCCGAGTGAAATGGGTTATCGGAAAAAACAGTAGGGTGGGGACTTGGCTCTAACCATCATTTGTTGGTCAGAACGTGAACTTGAGGTCAACTGTAAGAAATGGAAAGCGTTTAAGTGGACAAAACAATTGTAGAAGTCTGGCATGCGTCACTAGAGAGAAGTCTATGGTTTCAATGGAAGATTGAATTATAATATTTTGATTAAAAATGACAAGGTCAACTTTTCATGAAACATAAGAATGGATGATTCGTTCACCATAAAGTCAATAATATGCATTAGGGAATAGATAGGGTGAATTTTCATTTCATGCTTTAATGAACATGAACATTTTTATCTACCAATTTCCTATAATGATTTCCAATGTATGAAGACTAGTTGCACATCTGTTTCAGAATAACCCCTAAAATGCGTAAAAATTAAAAAGTGTGGCAGTATTCAGACATGAAAAATGGTTTCACCACTATACATAAGAACTTACTGTAACCTAAAACAGGGCAAGGACAAATTAGGTTTGCAGAAAGTGGGTTTAATTTCTGTATTTACAAATGATGAAGAACAGGAAATTGTGTTTATCCATATGTGTGTGTATCTCACATCTTAGTAAATGTGGCTGTCTTCATTGTTTACACCAACTTAAAGCTAACTTCGTAATTTTTTTTTTATCTGATACTTTGTTTTGTCATATTTACTCACTCTAATGTTGTTCAAACCTGTATGACGGTCTTTACTTTAGTGTTTTCTGGAGTTGATCGTGTTCATTGTATTGAAGAAAAGACAATGAAAGTCAACACTGACTGGTGAGAAGAAAAAAAGTCCTACACGTTTGAATCAACATGAGGGTGAGTAAATTACACGGTTTTAATTATTGGGCGAACCGTAAATCACGTTGAATGCATGCGGAGTTTACTTTTTGTGTAATATGTTGACCTTATTTGGAAGAACATCGTAAATGTAGTTGAGTCACATAACGTTAGCTGAAGTTCGCCCTAAAATTAGTAAGGAAAAGTATCTACAAACTAGAAAAACGGGCAACTTACCAATAACATAAACGCAGATTTAAAACCATTCGTCGTGCACAAAGGAAAACAAATGAGAAGCAATTCGGCTTTAATTCTTCAAAGCCATCGCTGCTGCCCGTCATCCATGTTTATATTCCAGCGCCGTTGATCTCTGCTGGAAAATCTGCGCTCCGTGCTTTTTTATTTGTTCCCATACAGTAATTCACCACGTCTTTGGACCGTTTACAGTGCATTCGCGACGGTTCTAAAGATTTTTACCTACAATCGTAGTTGGGTTGCCGTTGAAAGGCAGTTCCTTCCCTCCCAACTGCCCTTGCTGTTCAATAAAATCTCTCGCGGATTAGTTTAACGGGGATAAAAGTGGAAAGCGGCTGTGAAGTCTACTACAACAACACGCGGCTTTTTTTCTTTTTTTTCTAAAATGGACCGTAGCTTTAGAAACTTCAAAATAAAAGTCATTGCTCAGCGACGCAATTTGCAGTAAATAATGCATTTGTAAGAATTACGTACTGTTTATTGTGGACCAGTGTATTTAAAAATATAAATTGGAATAAAACTTGGCGTATTTTGTGAAATATGCTGTTTAAATAATAAAGAAAAATAGGTTACATTTAAAATTTTACATGGTATATATCCAGCTAAAAGTGTGCTAGAGAGATTTAATTTGGATATTGATTATTCCTGTGATTTTTGTTCAATGGAAAAGGAGACTTTTGTCCATCTGTTTTGTAATTGTGTTTACACAAGGATTTTCTGGGTGGATATGGAACATTTCATTAGAAGGAAAACAAATATTATATTATATTCAAGTTAAATTATTTTGATTTATGTATTATTCCAATGAAAGTAATAATAATAATTGTACTTTACTTGTACAACTTTTTATTATTCTGGGAAATGTTCACATACATAAGAAATGGTCAGGATCCAAGCCAAATTGAATTTATTTTCTTCAGGAAACAAAGGACTACTGCACCGGTTTGGACATTGGAACATTGTTAATAAAAAAAGCAAAGAAGACTTGTAATATTTATCATGAATATACAATTTTTGAATAATGAATCAATTGTTTATACACTCTAGCATGTTTTATGTACATTTTTGTATACTGTTGTTGTATATTTTGTTCTGGTCAATAAAAAAAAAAAAGAATTATGTAATACTGAACGTCGTTTGCTAGAATTTTACAGATAAATAAAAATAAATACTTCGTATTGTTTAATAAATAGTACTTACTCATTTCATCCAAATTTATTCCCAAATGAATGAGCTCATGTACATTATGCCTTGGATAAAACATGCATATGTATGTTTTCGGTTTACTTTAACTTCGTTTCATACTTTCATTTAGTGCAGTAACACTTTGAAATATAGTTTTATAATGTGAATCAATTCAGTTACTTATTCAAAATGTGTCGGTTTCTCCACTTTTCACACGTTTACATACATATAAAGTATTACATACCACATTACAAGTTCACAAGGTTCAGCAAGCTGAAACAGTCATACTTTTGATATGTGTGTTTATTTATAAATGAGGTTGTCATGGCTAATGTCAATGCAGGAGTCTTCATATCAAATTACACCACATTGTTCAGCTGTATAATTGTAAGAGTGGAATTCAGGCATTTAATAATGCTCAAATTGATCTTTAGGTTAGTTCACTACAGCCCATATTTAAATCAATATCTCCAACTGTCATCTGTTCAATGTACAATCTTGACACATCCATTCAGGGATGTCTACAGCTCAAACACCAGTTTGACTGGAAACAACATTCTTGGAAATTCTTAACTTTTGCATATTTAATACTTAACATGGAAAAGATGGTTCCACAAAACCTCATACATCAGTAAGGTGTCAACATACAACACTTTTTGTGCAAGGGATACATTTTTTACACTCTATCAATATTCAATTTTAACTTTACAGTCCAACAAGCAAGTCCTTTTTTCCCGGCATTTCAGACAAAACAAAGAACAACCAGAACCTTCATCAGGTCGCAGGTAAAAATTCTCTTTTCCACTTCCACCGTTTTGAGTCTTGTGATCCTCGTTAAACTCTATCTATACACTGTCCACATGCGTCTGTATCATCGATGTCTCATTCAAACAGCAACAACCTGCAGTGCGTGAGGACGGGAGAGCACTTTGTCATTACAAAAATGTGGTTCCTTTCTTTCTGCTTCTTGCCTCTGTCGCACTCCCGTTTTACATAGAAAGATGAATATAAATGCTTTAGGGGAGTTGTCTCTTGTTATCCTGAAAAATGAAGTAAATGTAAACACACTTTAGCAACAAGGTAATTTTATTAGAATTTCAGGAAAAAATGACTTTTGAAATACTGATCCCAGTATAGTGGTTGAGTCAATGACAAATACGCAGAAAAAATGGGAGATTTTTTTATGTTTTTGAAAGAAGCCTATTTATTTGATCAAAAACACAGTAATATTGTGAAATATTATTTAAAATAACGGTTTTCTGCTTTAATATATTTTAAAATGTAATTTATTCCTGGCAAAGCTTAATTTTCAGTAACCACTACTCTAGTCTTTCAGTGTCACATGGTTTTCAGAATCAGAAATTGTTATAATGCTGATTTAATGCTCAAAAAACATTTCTTATCATTATCAATGTTGAAGACGGCTGTGCTTCTTAATATTTTGCGTAAACTGTGACATTTTTAAAAATTCTTTGAATAGCAAGTTCAAGTTCAGAACAGAATTTAAAACAAATCTTTTGTAACATTATAAATGTCTTTACTGTCACTTTTGATCTTTACTGAATGTTTAATGAATTATTCATTTATAAATATGACAGTTTTTAGGGGGTTATATCACTTCCTTTATCACCACCTTAACTAATCATCCCTAACCCTAACCTAACCGTCACATAAAAGGTCTCATTGATATTAGACATATTGTACTTAGCAAATAATATGAGGATCTGCAGGTGTCCTTTCTCTGATGTCGTTTCCTGTTTTGTGCCTCAAGTTTCTGCATGTTGGTTGCACCATATCACTTTGATCTGGTAGACAATTTTTTAATACGTATATAATTATATTATAACTGCTTCACAACTATTTTTCTAAGAAATAATAAGAGAATAGGCCAAAACACTTTTTTACCTTTTTTTCTTTGCTATGATATCAGGACAGTTGTATTTCCCTGACATTTATGACTTCATATCCCCCAAAAATATCCAAATTATTTTTAATTCAGAAATTAAAAACATGCTCATCATAGAAGAGGTGTATTGTGTGTATGAAAAGCCATTATGTGTATGAGTTGCAGTTCAATGCATTTTTTAATAAATGAAAAAATCCAGACCAAAAAACAAATGACTAACCTCCTAAAAACAGTAAATGACAGAGAACTTGCAGAGCTCATTTCCCCATGTGTTCGAATGGAACGCTGACCTGTGTGAGAGAGACAGAGACAGGTCAGAACAAAAACAAATATCAGGGAATTAAAGGGATAGTTCACCCAAAAATGAAAATTTGATGTTTATCTGCTTACCCCCAGGGCATCCAAGATGTAGGTGACTTTGTTCCTTCAGTAGAACACAAACAAAGATTTTTTAACTCAAACCGTTGCAGTCTGTCAGTCTTATAATGGAAGTGAATGGGAATCACGGCTTTGAGAGTAAAAAAAAACATACACAAACAAAACCAAATTAAACCCTGCTGCTCGTGACGATACATTGATGTGTAAAGACATGAAACGATCGGTCTGTGCAAGAAACTGAACAGTATTTATATCGTTTTTTACCTCTGATTCACCACAATGTCCAAACTGTCCTGAGGGCTTTTCTAGACACGTCTTCTTCTTTTTCCTGTTTTATGGCGGATCTCAGACTTATAAGTGCATTACCGCCACCTATCTCTCAAATGGACCATTGACACTCCCAATTGAGATTGTAGATAGAGTGTCAATGGTCCATTTGAGAGATAGGTAATGCACTTATAAGTCTGCGATCCGCCGTAAAGCAAGAAGAAGAAGTATTTATATCGTTTTTTACCTCTGATTCACCACAATGTCCAAACTGTCCTGAGCACCTTTCCAGACACGTCTTCTTCTTTTTCTTGTTTTACGGCGGATCTCAGACTTATAAGTGCATTACCGCCACCTATCTCTCAAATGGACCATTGACACTCCTAATTGAGATTGTAGATAGAGTGTCAATGGTCCATTTGAGAGATAGGTAATGCACTTATAAGTCTGCGATCCGCCGTAAAGCAAGAAGAAGACCCGTCACGCGCCGGCTGAAGAAGAAGAAACGAATGCACTCAGGACAGTTCGGACATTGAGGTGAATCAAGAGGTAAAAAACGATATAAATACTGGGCAGTTTCTTGCACAGACCGATCGATTCGTGTCTTTACACATCAATGTATCGTCACGAGCAGCAAGGTTTAATTTGGTTTTGTTTGTGTATGTTTTTTTGACTCTCAAAGCCGTGATTCCCATCCACTTACATTATAGGACTGACGGACTGCAACGGATTGAGTTAAAAATCTTCGTTTGTGTTTTACTGAAGAAACAAAGTCACCTACATCTTGGATGCCCTGGGGGTAAGCAGATAAACATCAAATTTTCATTTTTGGGTGAACTATCCCTTTAAGCAAAGAACCAGTACGTGAACGGAAACCTGTGGGGGGGTGATGCGAATCTGATCGTGACGGAGAGGGAGGTCAGGGGAGGCATTGGCAGGAGCGCCGCGGTGCAGCCTTAAACACACTCTCCTTTCCCGCTCAGCTCCTCGGCCTGCTCTTGGAGATGCGTTCCCTGAGAGACAGAACAACAGGTACGTTTTAAGTGCTGATTTCAATAACCAACAGCACAGAAGGTCAGGTGGATGCGCTTTCCTAAGTAAGAGAAACCACATACATAACAAATAACCTGCTCATAAATAGAACAGACATCAATAACACCTCCGGTCATCCTCAGACTCACCAGACTGTGGCACACGAGAGGCAGGTGTTGAGCTGGCAGGGTCTGGGCCGTTGCGGACCCTGTTAGGGGCCGGGAGGTTGGGGCCAGAGGGCAGAGCACGAGCCGCAGAACCTGGTGGTCCGCCTCCGGTCCTCTCATCCCTCTCCTCTCCCTCTCCCCTCTGCTCCTTCTCTTTATCTTCTGCTGTCCTGCTGGAGCCCTGACACAGTCAGAAAAGCCCACAAGGTGAGCAATATAATGCACATTTGAACTGCACCACAAATAAATTATGCGAAATGTTTAAAGAACATACAAATTTCAGCATGTTCCAGTCAAACACATAGTCGTACGAAAATCCCTGTCTGTGGAAAAGATTCCTGAACAGCTGTCTCAGGTACGAGTAGTCAGGTTTGTCATCAAACCGGAGTGAGCGGCAGAAGTTCATGTAGGTTGAAAATTCAGCTAGAGA